GATAGAAAGGGGGTTTTGGGCTCAGAAAAACACACCTCTTTAACCTCTCTGGCCCACCCTTATATCCTATTACCGTACCTCCTCCTCTGCCTCTCAGATCTCGCTCCTGAAGACTGCAGTGAAGCGGTGCAGGTGCGCATGTCTGAGATCTGAGAGGCAGAGAGGGAGGTACAGTAATAGGAAAATTACCATATTGAAATCTAATCTGATGCTTTTAAATTTTTTATTTGGTGTGTGTTGGAAGAGGGGTAGTCTTATACGGCAAGTATATCCCAAACTCTATATTTTAACTGGAAAAGTTGGGGGTTGTCTTATACGCCCAGTCATCTTATATGCCGGAATATACGGTACTTCTGTTAGGTAGGATTATCCAAGTACTCGCACACATCTTAGTGGGTTGGCATAACTTTGTTCATAACTTTGGGTGAAAGGACTGGGGGGCACAGATACATTGCCAGCCTGCTGAACATGCTTTCCTCTGCTACATCTCCTTGGCCCCAGGCATGCCTACCTATACAACAGGGGCTCTTACATACTGAAGAATTATAGCACTATGATTCCACATTAATTCCCATGGTTGCATCCTATAAAATCCTAGGATTTGCTCTTAATTACTTAGAATTCTCAGACCCCCTTCTACATAATCAAACAGATGATACACATTATCTGTTTTGAACTAGATTTTTTGAGTCTACACTGTCATATAATCCAGTTAGGATCCCCCGGTGGCGCAGTGGGTTAAACCCCTGTGCTGGCAGGACTGAAGATCGACAGGTCGCAGGTTCGAATCCGGGGAGAGGCGGATGAGCTCCTTCTATCAGCTCCAGCTCCTCATGCGGGGACATGAGAGAAGCCTCCCACAAGGTTGACAAAAACATCAATTCATCCAGGCATCCCCTGGGCAACGTCCTTGCAGACGGCCGATTCTCTCACACCAGAAGCGACTTGCAGTTTCTCAACGACAAAAAAATAATAATCCAGTTCAAAACAGATAATCTGGATAATATGGCAATGTAAAAGGGGCCTCAGCGAGCACTGCTGCTTCTCCTATAAAACCTAGATTCCATAGGACAGCCATGGCTGTTAAAGTAGAATCATAGCATTATAACTAACTCTAAATCCACCTTAAAAACTGTTTCCAAACATTGGTTGCCTTGTGGGATGAGGGGGTTGAAGTCTATTAAAAGGTCCCAGGTTTCGACATCCAGGGATACAAAATGTGCTTGGGTCAAGTTAGCCCTTCCTACCCTACAAGCAAAAGGGAAGGGAGAATTGTTCTGGATTTAATTGTCCTGTATAAGAAAAAGGCAAGAGGATTCAAGCTGACAGAAGAATAGAACTCTTCTCACTGGAAGTTGTGCGTCTCCACCTGGCAGTTTTGAAAGTTAGCAAAAGAAAAGACTTCTATCTTTCCCCACCTCACAGTTAAAAGCACAAAGCCGGTCTGTTGCCTCCATGTGTCAATAAATAAAGTTTCCTTTTCAAAGGCACTATATTTATTTTTTAACTTGATTTACATGGTTTTTTGAAAGAAAGAAAGAAAGAAAGAAAGAAAGAAAGAAAGAAAGAAAGAAAGAAAGAAAGAAAGAAAGAAGGATGTATAACAAATGATTAGAATGGTAACATATTTTCATGCCAATATTTGGAATGAGATGACTCTGACTGTCTGTAGCATGCAGAATTTAGGGAAGTTACTTTTGGGTTCTAGAGTTCCTTTTACACTGCCATAGAATCATAGAGTTGGAAGAGACCTTGTGGGACATCCAGTCCAACCCCCTGCCAAGAAGCAGGAAAATTATATTCAAAGCACCCCTGACAGATGGGCATCTAGCCTCTGCTTAAAAGCCTCCAAAGAAGGAGCCTCCACCACACTCCGGGGCAGAGAGTTCCACTGCTGAACAGCTCTCACAGTCAGGAAGTTCTTCCTCATGTGGAGTTTCCTTTTCTGTAGTTTGAAGCGATTGTTCCGCGACCTAGTCTCCAGGGCAGCAGAAAACAAGCTTGCTCCCTCCTTCCTATGACTTCCCCTCACATATTTATAGATGGCCTTAATGTGTCCTCTCAGCCTTCTCTTTTGAAAGCTAAACATGCCCAGCTCTTTAAGCCGCTCCTCATAGGGCTTGTTCTCCAGACCCTTGATCATTTTAGTCGCCCTCCTCTGGACACATTCCAGCTTTTCAACATCTCCCTTCAATTGCGGTGCCCAGAATTTGACACAGCATTCCAGATGTGGTCTGACCAAGGCAGAAATCCAGATTATTTGATTTAAACTGGATTATATGGCAGTGTAAGGAGCCCCCGGTGGCATAGTGGGTTAAACCCCTGTGCTAGTAGGACTAAAGACCAACAGGTCGCAGGTTCGAATCCAGGGAGAGGCGGATGAGCTCCCTCTATCAGCTCCAGCTCCTCATGTGGGGACATGAGAGAAGCCTCCCACAAGGATGATAAAAACATCAAAACATCCAGGCGTCCCCTGGGCAACGTCCTTGCAGACGGCCAATTCTCTCACACCAGAAGCGACTTGCAGTTTCTCAAGTCGCTCCTGACACGACAAAAAAAAATGGCAGTGTGGACTCATATAACCCTGTTCAAAGCAAATAAAGTGGATTATCTGATTTGGTAATCTGGATTATATGGCAGTGTAGAAGGGGCTCTAGATTCCTCTTCTACACTGCCACATAATCCAGATCATCACATTATCTCCTTTGAACTGGATTATCAGTCTACACTATCATATAATCCAGTTCAAAACAGATAATCCGGATTTTATATGGCAGTGTAGAAGGGGCCTGGGAGTTATCCAAATGGTACCTTTCTAAACTCTGCAAGCATGTCCAGTAATTACAAACACAAGGGGTAGATGTGGTGGATTCCACAGACTCAAGAAGCACATTTTTGCAAGCTTCGAAATGGGAGACATTGCCATAGCCTAGACTTCTGGTTTGACATGTTCCAGTTATTTTGGGGTAAATCAGGGGTCCTCAAACGGCCCTCCAAGGTCATTTACCCGGCCCTCACTCAGGGTCAACCTAAGTCTGCAATGACTTGAAAGCACACAACAACAACAATCCTTTCTCATCAGCCAAAAGCAGGCCCACACTTGAAATACTATTGTTTATATTTGTTAAAATTATTCTTCCTTTTAATTATTGTATTGTTTTTAAGTGTTTTTTGCACTACAAATAAGATATGTGCAGTGTGCATAGGAATTCTGCCATATCAAATCCAGATTATCTGCTTTGAACTGGATTATATGGTAATATAGACTCAGATAATCCAGTTCTTTGAGAATATGACTCTGGCCCTTTCTACACTTCCATAGCAAATCCAGATTATCTGCTTTGAACTGGACTATATGGTAATATAGACTCAGATAATCCAGTTCTTTGAGAATATGACTCTGGCCCCTTCTACACTGCCATATCAAATCCAGATTATCTGTTTTGAACTGGATTATATGGGAATGTAGACTCAGATAATCCAGTTCTTTGAGAACATGACTCTGGTCCCTTATACACTTCCAGATCAAATCCAGATTATCTGTTTTGAACTGGATTATATGGTAATGTAGACTCAGATAATCCAGTTCTTTGAGAATATGACTCTGGCTGTTTCTATACTGCCATATCCAATCCAGATTATCTGTTTTGAACTGGATTATATGGTAATGTAGACTCAGGGTTGTTGTAGGTTTTTTCGGGCTATATGGCCATGGTCTAGAGGCATTCTCTCCTGACGTTTCGCCTGCATCTATGGCAAGCATCCTCAGAGGTAGTGAGATCTGTTGGAACTAGGAAAAAAGGGTTTATATATCTGTGGAATGACCAGGGTGGGACAAAGGACTCTTGTCTGCTGGAGCTAGGTGTGAATGTTTCAACTGACCACCTTGATTAGCATATAATGGCCTGACAGTGCCTGGAGCAAACTTTTGTTGAGAGGTGATTAGATGTCCTTGTTTGTTTCCTCTCTGTTGTTGTGCTGTTGTAATTTTAGAGTTTTTTTTTAATACTGGTAGCCAGATTTTGTTCATTGTGTTCATCTGGAAATGTATTGTCGAAGCTTTCATGGCTGGAATCACTGGGTTGTTGTAGGTTTTTTTCAGGCTATATGGCCATGTTCTAGAGGCATTCTCTCCTGACATTTCGTCTGCATCTATGGCAAGCATCCTCACTACCTCTGAGGATGCTTGCCATAGATGGAGGCGAAACGTCAGGAGAGAATGCCTCTAGAACATGGCCATATAGCCCGAAAAACCTACAACAACCCCATGATTCCAACAGACAAGAGTCCTTTGTCCCACCCTGGTCATTCCACAGATATATAAACCCACTTTCCTAGTTCCAACAGACATCACTACCTCTGAGGATGCTTGCCATAGATGCAGGCGAAACGTCAGGAGAGAATGCCTCTAGAACATGGCCATATAGCCCGAAAAAACCTACAACAACCCAGTGATTCCGGCCATGAAAGCCTTCGACAATACAATGTAGATTGATATAATCCAGTTCAAAGCAGATAATGCGGATTATCTGCTATGACAATATAGATTATATGGCAGTGTAGAAAGGGCCTTGGTCCTTTAAGGGTGTGGAGCAGAGGCCATGAGAGGTAGATATGAGAATATGGCCCCCCGAAAGGCAGTGTAAATGGCGTGAGAATGTGTGCTTGAGGCATTCCAAAGTTGGGCTACAGTCGTATGATAAAAAGCGCACACGAAAGCCACGTGTGCTTCTAGGAAAGAAAAGTCTGGCAGGTTTAAGGCTGTGCGTTTTTCTCTTTCTCTCTCACTCCGGGGCTGTGCAGTTAGTTTCGCTATAAATTGAGGGCACAAGTTTGTGTTTTGTTTTTAAAAAAATTATTAACAAGAAAGCGCTGCAGCTTTTACGACAGATGCCATCATGCAGTTACGTGAGCACATTTTCTGCTTTTTCCAAAATTAAAAAAAGGGGAGGACAACGTGGATTTTTTGTCTCTTTTTGCATTGTTTTTTCTTAAATTAAGTCAAATCAATCAATAGAAAATAAGTATGTATAATTTCCCCAACCCACCCACCACTGCCCCTATCTACACATAATATACTTATTTATAAAACTCAGGATCCGGCAACAAGGGGGATGGAAACGAGCCATTCTTTCCTTTTTAAGTCAACGCCGACATCGCTGGACCGCCGTTCACCATGGTTTTGCGTCCCCTGCCAGCCAAGGGCTGCATCTGGTGGCAGTTCGAGGAGGAGCCATTGAGCATGGCGCCGGAGGAAGCGTTGGCAGGAATGCTCACAGTGGTGGTGTTGGAGCTCGGGGAGCCATGCGAAGGTGTGGCCGGGCTGGGCAAGGATGAGGAAGTGGTGGCCGGCAAGGTGGCGGGGCTATTAGCCTTGTCGCTGACAGATTCACACTCCGACGCACCACTGGTGTTGGTGCATTCTGAGTTGGGAGGCTGGGAGGACAGCTTTAACCTCTTGCAGGCTGGCTGGACCCGGTACTTCAAAGGAAGAGGACCATTCTGCAAAGACAGAGAGCAACAAAAAGGATCAGGGACTTGAGAAATTCCTTCCAGTCTTCGTGTCATTCAGAAGTTATCAATGTGAGTTCATTTTACACAGCAAAGCAAGACATTTCTGTATGAGTCTAATCCAGTGATGTGGATTTTGCAGAAAAATTAGAGTCGGAACATTGTGGATAAATGTATTGTCGAAGGTTTTCATGGTCGGAATCACTGGGTTGTTGTGGGTTTTTCAGGCTGTATGACCATGTTCTAGAAGCATTCTCCCCCTTTTTTAAGATTCATTTTTATTAGTTAATAACATGGACATAACACATATCGACATTAATTTAATAATAATAATAATAATACTTTATTTATACCCCGCTACCATCTCTCCAAGGGACTCGGTGCGGCTTACATGAGGCCGAGCCCACAATACAACAATACAAGCAATACAAGCAGTAACAAATACAATACAAAGCAATTAAAATAAATCTCATACACATTTAAGTTAAAAATAAAGAGACAAAAGAGAAAAAAACATACAAGTCAAGTATAAAAAGTCATTGGCATGATTAGACAATTGGTTTCCAGTACAATGAAAGTGGGTGAACATGGTTTTAAAATAAAGTAGGTAGTATAGGATAGAGGAGAGAATGGGGAAGGGGAAAACAAAACAAAAAAAAAGGGGGGGGGGACACCAGTAACAAAGCATCTGTGTAGGACATACACATATACATATACACTTTTTTTCCTCTCACTTCCAGATCGCTTACATCAGGGGTCCTCAAACTAAGGCCCAAGGGCCGGATGCGGCCCTCCAAGGTCATTTACCCGGCCCTCACTCAGGGTCAACCTAAGTCTGAAATGACGTGAAAGCACACAACAACAACAACAATCCTATCTCATCAGCTAAAAGCAGGTCCACACTTCCCATTGAAACACTAATAAGTTTATATTTGTTAAAATTGTTCTTCGTTTTAATTATGGCATTGTTTTTAAGTGTTTTTTTTACTACAAATAAGGTATGTGCAGTGTGCATAGGAATACATTCATGTTTTTCTTCATTTTCTTCATTTTCTTTATCATTTTATCATGGTTTAATACACTTGTTATACATTTGTTTTACAGCAGATACATATTATTCAATACAACCTAACTTACTTTTGGCATCTAGTGTTATTTTTCTGCTTATACATATTATCTATCTCTCACCGCAGTGCTCCCCTCCCCACTCCCAAGCCACAGCTTTTATATGTCATCTGTCCAAAATTTCAATTCTTCTTGTGGAGCTAACTTTCCTTCTTTATTTTTTAATCCTTTTTCAATAAATTTTCTCCATACATCATCAAAATCACTTTGTTTCCATATACCTCTTTTAACTTTTAATATACATGTCAATTTATCATTTATTGCCAATTTCCATGCTTCCTCATACCACTCCTCTATTTGTATATTTATTTCTTTTTTTCCAGTTCCTTGCTATAAGCAGTCTTGATATTGTTAATAAATTCGTTATCACATCTTTATCCTCTTTTTTCAATTGTTTATTGTTATATAATGATAATAAAGCTATGCTAGGACTTCTTTCTGTTTTAATATTCATTATATCTTCTATTTCTCTAAATACTTTTCCCCAAAAATTATTTACATATTTACATTGCCACCACATATGTATATATGTTCCTGGTTCTTGACATCCTCTCCAACAATTTTTGAATAGTTTTTATTTATATGTGCTATTCTTACTGGTGTTCGGTACCATTTCCATATTAACTTGTAATAATTTTCTTTAACCCGTATTGATAATTTTTTTTAGATGCCTTTGTCTCCATAATTGTTGCCACTCTATTTCATTTATTTTTATCCCTAAATCTTCTTCAAAGACCTCCTTGAGGGTGTTATTCTTTGTTTTTCCTGCCTTTATTTCAATTATTATCTTATATATTTTACTAGTTATTCCCTTCAAATTTTCAAGCTCCTCTACAACCCTTCCATTTTGTATTATTTGTTCAAATGGGTTAAGCTTACCTCCGTTTTTATTATTTTTTCCCATTCACGTTTTTTTTCAAATTATAATCCAACCCTCCTACAGTTTGAGGGACTGTGACCTGGCCCTCTGTTTAAAAAGTTTGAGGACCCCTGGCTTACATGGTTGATATATTCCTTTACTTTGTTTTACTTTAATTGTAGTAGTCGCCTTACATTTGTTCTATCCTGGCCCTTGGGGCTTCTTTATTCTATTTTTACAAGTACTTGTAGCTGTTCTCTTTTTAAAAATATAATAACATTTTCCAGTCCGTTTTGTTTGATGGTCATCTGTTTTGGTCAATATTTTGGGTCAGCAGATCCATATTCATAACGTCAATCGTTTTCTCAATCCAATTATCTATTGTAGATGTCTCTTTCACTTTCCAAAAGCAGGCTATACATATCCTTGCAGCCGTGGTAAGGTAAAAGAAAATTCTATCTCCATTTTTATCAATTTGAAAGTCTTTGATTCCCAATAAAAATATCCTGGTTTAAATTCGAATTTAAGTTGTAAGATTTCTCCCATTTTTTTGTATACCTCGTACCAATTTTTTTAACAACTTTAATAATAATAACATAATAATAAACCTTTATTTATACCCCGCTACCATCTCCCATTTTGGTGCGGCTTACAAGAGGCCGAGCCCAATACATCAATAAAAAAGCAACAACAGCAATACAGATAATAAATAAACTCATAAACAAAGCAATAAACAGTAACAATAACACCACGACGCATTAAAAACCTATGGCAGGGCCAAATAATAATAATAATTAAAATTGTAAAAATGCTGGGCATGACAAGGTGACATATAACTAGGATAGGTATTTGGAGAGAGATGGAGCGAGCAGACAATCCTAGATCATTAGTAAAGTGTGATTAGGGACATGTTGCTTAGGGTTTCCTTATTCTGGGAAGGCACACTGGAACAACCATGTTTTCAGGCTCCTCTTAAAGACTGCCAGAGATGGGGCATACCTAATGTCCTTGGGGAGCAAGTTCCAGAGTCGAGGGGCCACCCCCGAGAAGGCCCTATCCCTCGTCCCCACCAATCGCGCTTGCGATGGAGGTGGGATCGTGAGTAGGGCCTCTCCAGATGAATGAAGAGATCGTGTGGGTTCGTACACAGAGATGCGGTCACGCAGGTAGGCAGGTCATAAACCGTTTAGGGCTTTGTAGGTAAGCACCTGTACCTTGAATTGGGACCGGAAAATGAACGGCAGCCAATGGAGCTCCTTAAACTTTACACCACCTCTGAGGAGGCCTGCCACAGATACAGGCAAAACGTCAGGAGAGAATGCTTCTAGAACATGGCCATACAGCCTGAAAAACCTACAACAACCCATTGTGGGTAAAAATTCCAAGTGATCCAAATCAGGGTTTGTTTAAATTTTCAGCTTGAGACATTTTTACACAACCTCAGGTACATAGGTGTATAAAACAGGTATAAAAATAAAATATTTATTGATAATAAATCAGCATTTGCAAGGCTTGCTAACCAAGCTGATTTTCCTTTTTATGAATCATAGAATTGAGTTGGAAGAAACCTCGTGGGCCATCCAGTCCAACAACTCAAGCATCTTCTGCAGAGTCCACTGTAAACATTACATAACAGATTCATCTAAATATCTAAAACATTATATTTACATATTTATATCAAATGTTATTTTTAGTATGTAATTCAACCTGGATTAGAATTTGATTCCAGAATTTTTGTATTTCTTCACATTCCCACCATATATCTGAGTATCATGCTTCCCGACTCCCACAATGCCACATTTGGGATTTTATCCCAGAATCATATTTATTAATTAATTAATTAATTAATTAATTAATTAATTATTTGTTTAATAAATAAACTCTCCTCCTGGGAGGTGGGGAGGGGGGCTCAGGGCGGCTTCCAGCCTCCAATGTACACATAATAAAATACATAATAAAATCAAATAATTACATAAATTAAATCACATTAATTAATTAAAATCAGTTTCTGTTTCATATATGCTAGCTGAATTGGTGTCCTATACCATTTTGTTATTATTTTCAATTCTAATTCCTTATATTTTCCTATTTTTATTTTATTTCAACCAATGATGATCTCTTCCATTTTTTTCTTTTCCTAAGCCCCCTTCCTATACGAAATTTGTTAATAAGGATATATGGTGATAGAAAAATTAAGGACCAAGATCAAGAATTGTTGAAAAACGGTATGAATATGTGTGGGACCAAATACAACTGGAAATTATGGACATTATAAGAACAAAAAAGCATGGTCAGACAACCTTGCGCTACCTATAAGAATGTAAGTAGGCATGCATGTACAATGACAACCTTTTCAAAACTTTTCAAAACTATGTCAATTTGGGGATTGTAGTATATCTATTATTTGTATGTTGCTGTGTTTCTTATTTAGTGAATTATAACATCATAACACCTGATGAAGACATTGTGAAACAAGGGAAACAACCCGGGAGACCTTGTTGTGTGTCACTATCACTGATGTTGTTTATGGAAGAAGATCTTTCGACAACATAGAAAGTGTTATTTTGTGCCACTGTGCCGGATATTGTTTAACTGTTGTTTTGGAAGCTCTAAGCTCATTGTATTGACGAAATATTGATAAACCATGTGTCATTGTTTTTGATGTTGTTTATGAAAGAAGATCTTTCGATAATATAGGAAGTTTTATTATGTTAACAAAGTATTGAAAAATTATCTTCCAATTATAAACAGTCTTTAATTAGTCGTGTGAATGTTCTCATGTTACATTCAATGTAGAAATTCTTGGAATATAGAAATTGTGATTGGCAATCTACAGTTTTTGTAATTAACCTTGAGTATAAGCCTAGTTTTTCAGCCCCCTTTTAAAGGTTGAAAAGGCCCCCCTTGGCTTATACTCGAGAAGAAAATTAAAGAAATTTGGACTCCATTTAACAGATGGTTACAGGCTGTTAAACTAGATGACGAAAGCTGGAAGAAAAATATGGATAGAGTGGAAAGACTCATGCAATGGGAAATAAAAACATTAAAGTTGTCAATAGGGAAGGGGAGGGGTGGGTATGAGGAGAGAGAAGGGAATGAAAAAGGAAAAAAAATAGTAATTATGGTGATGTATAATTTATAAATAAAACATAAATAAAATGTCTAAAACAGCCACTAGGTGGCATTCAGAAATTGTTTACTATTGCCAAATTTTTCCGCAACCCCCATTTTCAGTTACAAAAGGGATCGGGACCCACAGTTTAAGAACCAGTGCGCTAAATAATATTTACCGTATATACTCGAGTATAAGCCGACCCAAATATAAGCCGAGGCACCTAAATTTTACCACAAAAAACCGGGAAAACGTATTGACTCGAGTATAAGCCGAGGGTGGGAAATGCAGCAGCTACTGATAAATTTCAAAATAAAAATAGATACCAAAATAGATACATATTCTTCCAATAATAATAAAGAGAGTAAAATAATAAATGTAATAATAAAAATAATACAGTGAAATAATGGAAATGTAATAATAACAATAATGAATAGAGTAAAGTAATAAATGTAATAATAACAACAACAATAAAGTATAATAATAATGAGTAAAATGATAAATGTAATAATAATAATAATAATAATAATGAGTAAAATAAAAAAAATTGTCATGTCAGGAGCAACTTGAGAAACTGCAAGTCGCTTCTGGTGTGAGAGAATTGACTGTCTGCAAGGACGTTGCCCAGGGGACACCCGAATGTTTTGATGTTTTATCATCCTTGTGGGAGGCTTCTCTTATGTCCCTGCATGAGGAGCTGGAGCTGATAGAGGGAGCTCATCCGCCTCTCCCCGGATTCAAACCTGCGACCTGTCGGTCTTCAGTCCTGCCAGCACAGGGGTTTAACCCACTGTGCCACCGGGGGCTCCTAAAATAATAAATGTAATAAAAATAATAATGATAGAGTAAAATACTAAATAACCTTGGCTCGAGTATAAGCCGAGGGGGGCCTTTTCAACCTTTAAACAGGGGCTGAAAAACTAGGGTTATACTTGAGTATATACAGTACTTGATTTAGTATGCTTGGTTTCAATATTCTATTCAAGCATGGATATCCTCGCCCAACATGTTGAAAGTTTTACATGCAAATCATTTCGCTGGAATATTTATATGCTATATTTAGCTCATCATATTCTGTATTTAGCCCTCCTAACATGTTTGATTGTTGAACAACCACCCTGGTATCTATGGCTAAATATATGTATGTGTAATTTTTTTCCATATAAAAATGTAACATCAGAAAATTTTCCATTGCACATTGCTAAGTTATTCTGCCCGATTGCTCTCCTCTAACATACTATAAACATTATAATTTGTAGATAAGTATAAACTTGCATGGTAATAAAACATTTCATCGACCTCTCTTACGACACATAAAACATCTTATCAATTTGTTATAACGTATGTGGAACAAAATGTTTTGGATGGAAAGCATGGCTAGATGACCCTCTCCAACAGTTTTATTTACGTTCTTCACCTCCCACTGTCCTACCCTTCCCCACTTGCATGCACAGATCTTAAATATTTTTTTTAAGTCTACTGCTGTTAACCCTCTTGACTCAGTTTGAAAACCCCACAATAGTCATTGATGTGGAAAATAAAATTTCCCTAGTATGTCCAGTACCTTGAGTATTTCCGAAAGATGTACTTCTTTAATAAGAGGATTTCCCTCGTCACTCACCCTTCGCCAAGGATAGATGTAAGTAATGTCCATGAGTGTATAATATTCTTTCAGAGGCTCATCTTCATAGAGAACTTCAACCTAACAGATAACATAGTACAATTAAATAAGAAATTCTTAAATCTTCTGGCCCAAACAGAGGCCTGTGGTTTTGCAATCTGAATATCTTAATGTTATATTTTAGGTTCTTGTGGGTTTTTTCGGGCTATAGAGCCATGTTCCAGAGGCATTTCTCCTGACATTTCGCCTGCATCTATGGAAAGCATAGATATGCTGTATCCATTTGAGAACACAGAAATGCTGGACCACACAAACAACCACCATGTCAGACTACACAGAGAAGCCATTGAAATCCACAAGCATGTGGACAATTTCAACAGAAAGGAAGAGACCATGAAAATGAACAAAATCTGGCTACCAGTATTAAAAAACGCTAAAATTACAACAGCAAAACAACAGAGAGGAAACAACCAGGCACATCTTAACACCTCCCAGCAAGAGATTTTCCCAGGCTCAGGCAGGCCTTCAAATGCTAATGAAGGTGATCAGTTGAAACATTCACACCTGGCTCCAGCAGGGAAGAGCTCCTTGTCCCACCCCAGCCATCCCACAGATATATAAACCCATTGTCCTAATTCCAACAGACCTCACTACCTCTGAGGATGCTTGCCATAGATGCAGGCGAAATGTCAGGAGAAATGCCTCTGGAACATGGCTCTATAGCCCGAAAAAACCCACAAGAACCTAGTGATTCCAGCCATGAAAGCCTTCAACAATACATTGTTATATTTTAGTCTGTAAAGCCACAACTGGCTCAAAAAAATTCTGCCAGAGGCAAAAGCACTCATTCTACATAGAAAGCCAACCATATTGAGTAAAGAATCTTCGATATTGGTAACCAGACTGTTGGAAATAGCAATCTTCTCAAGCCTCCACTAGTTATTTGTTATGTATATCATTGCTTACTGTCTTGTATATGTGTGTATTGGTATGCAATTTTACCTTTTCTATTTATTTATTTATTTACAACATTTATATGCCGCTCTTCTCACCCCGAAGGGGTCTCAGAGCGGCTTACAAGTAAAAAGCAAATACAATATATTATATTATTGTCATAGCACAATATTAATATTATATATTACATTGTACTATTACATTATACTGTAATATTATTAGTAATATTACATTTAATATAAAATATATAATTATAATATAATTTTATTATTAGTAGTAGTATATTGTATTACATAATATTATCAATATTATATGTATATACAAAACATTATATTATATTATATTATATTATATTATATTATATTATATTATATTATATTATATTATATTATATTATAAGCACAGTGCAGGAGACAAGATGGAACTGCCTTCCTGGCCCCTCTCTTCACTCTGATCTCAGAGCACCAATTGGTGCTGGAAGTGGGGGGCTCCCAACTGATGACACTGGAGGCAAAATAGAACTGCCTTCCTGGCCCCTCTCTTCACTCTGATCTCAGAGCACCAATTGGTGCTGGAAGTGGGGGGCTCCCAACTGATGACACTGGAGGCAAGATAGAACTGCCTTCCTGGCCCCTCTCTTCACTCTGATCTCAGAGTAGGGGTTGGTGCTGGAAGTGGGGGGCTCCCAACTGATGACACTGGAGGCAAGATAGAAATTTCAGTTCTGTCCTCCACCCAACAGCATCTGTTGTCAAAAACAATAATCATATTTATGACAAGGCTGCCTTGCATAAGATTATAAAACTATGGAAGGGAGCCTACTTCTCTCTTAATGCCCTTTGCAGGCATGTAGCAAGGGGGGGAGGGCTTGAGGGGCTTCAGCCCCCCACCCCCCAAAATTCTCATGGTGGTTCGCGAACAGGCCTTACTGGTGCATTATTTAAACTGTTATGTTTATTCATATCATGATCTGATCACCATACTCAATATATCCCATATGCATGGGGGTATTGGAGTAATGATACAAAAGGTTTGCTAGGGTAGACCCTCTTTCACTCAGACTCAGCCCCCCACCCCGAAACTCAGCCCCCCCGAAACCCCCCCTGAAAAAAACTCACCCCCCCCCCCGAATCGAAATCCTGGCTACGGGCCTGGCCCTTTGGCTTAATTATATGTGGATGGTATCAAGAAACAGAGAATGAGTGAGACTTATACAATGCTAGTGTTGCAAGCTTTACCCATTTTTATTTTTTGCTCTGGCAACATCCACCATCATTTGCTGTCTCCCATTTTATCCATGGGGGAAAAAATCTTGATCAAGTTCGACTACTAAATGAAGACTTTAAAGAACAGCTTTCCAAACTGTGTGTCTTGACATGTTAGTGTGCCGGCTGCAGTGTGTAGGTGTGTTTAACTTCTAGTTTGCTGTGTCATGAGTACTGTATCTCTAAAAAGTATCTCACCAACATGAAACGTGTGGGAAGCTCTGCTTTGAAGTGTTCCTCCCACACCTGAGTAGCAAGACTAAAATAAATTATGACACTAACTACCCTAAATAAAGGCACATTTCCTCAATTTACATCTTTGGACAGATATGGGTTGCTTTTCTGCAGCTTTAAAAAGACTTTAATACAGACTTCATTAAGTTAGAGACTAAGGCCCCTTCCACACAATTGTATAAAATCCACATTGAACTGGATTATATGGCAGTGTGGACTCAGATAATCCAGTTCAAATCAGATATTGTGGATTATCTGCCTTGATATTCTGACTTGTGGATTATCTGCCTTGCACTGAGACAGTGGTGGATAACTACTGACCAAAAGGTCATGAGTTCGAAGCCAGCCCAGGTCAGAGTGAGCTTCCAACCAAAATTGTGTCGCTTGTTGTCAACCTTTGCAGCCCAAAATACAGTTGCATCTGTCAAGTAGGAAATTTTGGTACCACTTATGTGGGGAGGCTAATTTAACTGATTTAAGAGGCCATAAAAATCTCCAGCAAGTATGCAAAGAATGAGGAAGTACTTCATCAGTGTCACAAATGGATGGTGAAGCAACAGCTCCCCTGGTGGCCAGAAGCTGGAATGTTAAATAGCCTCTGAGTATCTGTCTATATGTGTTGTGTGTCTATGGCATTGAATGTTTGCCATGTATATGTATACTGTAATCTGCCCTAAGTCCCCTGCAGGGTGAGAAGGGTTGAATATAAATACTGTAAATAAACAAAAATAAATATTCTGGATTATATGGCTGTGTGGAAGGGCCCTAAGATGCAAACATGACTTCTATGGAATCTACTATTGTGCAACACTAATATTTGAGAAAAGGCTAACCGGGGTTCAACCTAGGCTCCCTCCACACTGTCCTATATCCAAGGATCCCCTCTCAGATCATCTTCTTATCCAAGAATATTGAGCACTTGAGACTCTGGCCCCTTCCACACAGCTGTATAAAATCCACATTGAACTCGATTATATGGCAGTGTGGAATCAACAAATCCAGTTCAAAGCAGATATTGCCTTGGCATCCTGGGTTATATGGCGGTGTGGAAGGGCCCTCATATGAGACAGTTTAAAGCAAATAATCTGGGATGGGATCCTGGGATATAGGGCAGTGAAGGAGCCTCAGATTGTCTTTCAAAACCAAAACAAAAAAAAAATGTTAATAACCTCATTTCCTGTTTATGTTGTACTTTCCATTATGTTATTTTGCACTATTTATTTTATTTTGTTATTGTATTATTTTATTGTGATTTTTTTGCCTTGTGTTTTATTTTGCTGTATTGTATTTTCGGGTTTGGCCTCATGTTAGCCGCCCCAAGTCCCCTTTGGGGAGATGGTGGCGGGGTACAAATGAAGATTATTATTATTATTATTATTATTATTATTATTATTATTATTATTTCCTGTGTGCTTTTACTCCACTTTTAGGTAGTCTGGGATGGTCTAGTGGATGTGCCGGGAAACTTGGTGATATTAATAACAGTGGCAGCAGGTCTTGGACAGTGGTGCTCAGTTCCAAATGCCAGTCCTTACCCCTGATGTTCACAACCAGGGATGTGGGGGGACCAAGCAATTGTTAGTTCACTCCTTTTTACTTTTATACTAGCTTGGGTAGAGTTGTCCAGGTTATTTGCAAAAAAATTAATTGAACAAAATGCATAAGGTTGTGGGTGAACTACAACTGACATCATGCCAGGTTAACCCCAAGAAACTCCATCAGTACTTAAAGTTTGTTAGGTTGGGCAAGTTTGCTCTGGATGCATCATTGGTGGAGTTCAGTGTGCTCTCTGGCTATAGGGTAAAGTACAACTCCTACTATGGTGAGTCAGTCCCCTCAAACCACTCCAGTAGGTTGAGTTAGTCATGGGGGTTCTATGTGCCAAGCTTGGTCCAAGTGCATCATTGGTGGAGGTCACAGTTTCCCTGTTTGTGGGTGAACTACAACTCCCAGCAAGGAAGGTCAGTTCCCCTCCAGTAACCAAATTTTGGCATAGCAAGTATGTGTGCCAAGTTTGGTCCAGGTCCATTGGTGTTTGGGTTCACAGTGCTCTCTGGATGTAGGTGAACTACAACAAATCAAGGTGAATTTTCCCAAAGACCTTCAGCATTTTTTGCTGGTCATGGATAATGTGTTAAGTCAATTGTTATATGTTGTATGGAACCACTGCTGTTTCTACTGTTTTTACTGTTTGTGAACCGCTGTGAGTCGCCTTCGGGCTTGAGATACAGCGGTATATAAGCAAAGTAAATAAATAAATAAATGGGGGCTCTGTGTGCCAAGTGTGGTCCAATTTCATCTTTGGTGGAGTTCAGAGTGCTCGTTGATTACTGCTGAATTATAAATCCCAATACCTACAATTCCAAAATGTCCAGACCATATCCTCTCCAAACCCACCAGTATTCAAATTTGGGCATATTTGAATACTGGTCCAGAGCCATCATTGTCTGAGTTCATAGTTTGCTCTAGATGTAGGTGAACTACAACTCCTATAAATCCCTCCAAAGACCTCCAGTATGTTTTGTTAGTCATGGGGTTCTGTGTGACATATTAGTTCCAGGTCCATCGTTTGAACTCCACCTGCTCTTTGACTGCAGGTGAATTATACATCCCAGCACCTACAACTCCTCTAAATCACGATGAATCAATTCCTCTGTTTGCTGTGTGCAATAGAAAAGAATAGGAAAGGGTTATGGGAGAGGCAATAGACGGGGTCATGCAAATTCCACAGCAATGGAGAGAGTAAGAAACACTGGGCTGCCTGTGGTGGACAAAAAACAGAAAATCTAGGATGAAATTGTCCCCATATGAAAGCCTTCACTTTGGTGGTGGGTAGTATGGTGTTGGTGGAGGACATTGGCAGGGCTCTTGTACATGTTCACGGCACTCTCTATAACAGTGGTTCTCAACCTGGGGTCCCCAGATGTTTTTGGCCTTCAACTCCCAGAAATCCTAATAACTGGTAAACTGGCTGGGATTTCTGGGAGTTGTAGGCCAAAAACATCTGGGGACCCCAGGTTGAGAACCACTGCTCTATAACCTGCAATGTCATTGGAGGGAAGGCCATTGGTGTCTCCTAGGTAGTGGGAGCTATAGCTATTCGTGAAAGTGGGAGCTTGTCTGTATAAGTGGACACCCCAGTCACACACACATACATAATTTCACTTTTATTATGTACTAGCCATCCCCTGCCACGCGTTGCTGTGGCCCAGTCTATGTATATGTGTTTTGTATGTGTGTAAATGTGTGTGTATATATTTGTGTATATGTGTATTTATGTGGTTATGAGCATACATTGTAATTTAATGTATTTTTTATTTTATCTTTTGGCTTTTTAAGTCTCTTCTGCTGTGTTTTTCAGTGTTTTTATGAGTGATGGTCACTCGTTGGCCTGATAGGTGTATTGTGTCCAAATTTGGTGTCAATTCACCCAGTGGTTTTTGAGTTATGTTGATTCCACAAATGAACATTACATTTTTATTTATATAGATAGATTAAAGTTTATGGGAATGGCAATGCTATATCTCATATTTGGGGGGTGGGCAATCTGCATGTATGTGTGTATCAAAAAAAAAAAGAGAGGAAGGTATAATCCCGTACCTTGGGAAGTCTGACTTGGCCACGGTAGTCCACGCTCTGGTTACATCCCATATAGACTACTGCAACGCTCTCTACGTGGGGTTGCCTTTGAAGACTGCTTGAAAGCTTAAAATGGTCCAGCGTTCAGCAGCCAGGTTGCTAACAGGAGTGGAACTCAGGGAGCATACTACACCTCTGTTGCGCGAGCTCCACTGGCTGCCAGTTTGCTACCGGGCACAATTCAAAGTGCTGGCGTTAGCCTATAAAGCCCTAAATGGTTCTGGCCCTACTTACTTCTCCGAACGCATCTCCTCCTATGAACCGACTAGGACACTAAGACCATCTGGGGAGGCCCTGCTCTCTGTCCCGCCTGCTTGGCGGGGATGAGAGACAGGGCCTTCTGAGTGGTGGCCCCTCGGCTGTGAAACGCCTGCCTGCAGATATCAGATCGGCCCCCTCCCTGCTGGCGTTTCAGAGGAAAGTGAAGACCTGGCTGTTCAAACAAGCATTTGATTAAACAGTGTAATTGAACATAGGAATACGGAATAATGGATGATGAGACTAGATTCTGATTTTACTGTTGAGGCGCTAATGATTGTTATACTGATGTTTAATGATTTATGTTACAATTGTTTTTAATTGCCCTATAATTGTCTCGTGATGTTTTGTATTGATGTTGTTCACCGCTTTGAGTTGCCTGAGGGCTGAGAAAAGCGGTATATAAATAAAGTAGATAAAGTAAATAAATAAATAAATAATCTTTTGGGGGGAGGTAGTGGATGGGCTGTCTGAAATGCTGTGTGCAATATGGTTTTAGAACAAGGGGAAGCAGTGGTTTCCTCAATGGTTCTGAAAGTACAATAGGAAAGAAAGCAATCCAGCTGGAATCGGGTTTTTACACACTACACAACTATAGTGAGAAATACGTCTTGTGAAAGAATGCTCAAAGTCTTCATCTTTTCGTGAAATTCAGCAAACCGCAATACGGGACAAACCTTCCTTGCTAAAAACAAAACAAAGTAAATAATTCACATTGAATTACGGCAGGCTTCAACTGAGATGCATGTGCATATTTTGTTCCTTGCGTACTTAATCCCAGGTACTAAACCGAACACTTCCAAGACTGGGAGCCCAAAAGAGCCTGCCACATTGGCTTTGCGACTCACTTTGTATTTGCTGGGCACATCCATCTTGTTGCGGAGAAACTTGGCCAGGTGCATGATGGTCATGGCGGCAGGACAACGGAGGAACCTCATGCTGTTTTTCTAGGAAGAATGAGATCAAGAGAGAGGGAGGGAGAGATGGTTTAGAGAGGTAGGGAGGGGGCTGGGCTGCTGTTGCAGCACTGACAGAGGCTGAAATATGTATTGAAAGAGCGGTAAATCTGCCAAAAGGCAGGGAAGTGGGAGCGGGCATGGCGTCCAGGGAGAGCCAAAGGTCACAAGGAGAGACTTCTGATGCAATCTATATACCACTGTAATACAGGATTAAATGCACCAAGTCTGTAGCTGGAGACAAGGAGGAAGAAAGAATCTAGGGAGAGAATGCCAAAGAAAGAAATAGAAAGGACAAAAGAAAGAGACAAGAAAGGAGAACTGGTAGAAGCAGCAGGAAGAGAGAGCAAACCATATAGGTCAGTGGTTCTCAACCTTCCTAATGCAGCGACCTCTTAATATAGTTCCATATGCTGTGGTGACCCACAACCATAAAATTATTTTGGTTGCTACTTCATAATTGTAATTTTGCTACTATTATGAATCGCAATGTAAATATCTGATATGCAGGATGTATTTTCATTCACTGGACCAAATTTGGCATGAATACCTGATACTCCCAAATTTGAATACTAGTGGGGTTGGGTGGGGATTGATTTTGTTACTTGGGAGTTGTAGTTGCTGGGATTTATAGTTAGCCTACAATCAAAGAGCATCCTGAACTCACCAATGATGGAATTGAATCAAACTTAGCTAAAGGTAAAGGTTTTCCCCTGACATTAAGTCCAGCCGTGTCCAACTCTGGGGTGTGGTGCTCATCTTCATTTCTAAGCCGAAGAGCCAACGTTGTCCGTAGACACCTCCAAGGTCATGTGGCCGGCATGACTGCATGGAGTGCCATTACCTTCCTGCTGGAGCGGTACCTATTGATCTTCTCACATTTGCATGTTTTCGAACTGCTAGGTTGGCAGAAGCTGGGACTGACAGCCAGAGGTGGCCCTAGGTAATTTTCAACGGTAAGCAAACAGTATTTTGGCGCGCCCCCCCTCAATCACTGATATATAGTTTCTGTTCGCCGTGGGAGTTCTGTGTGCCATATTTGGTTCAATTCCATCATTGGTGGAGTTCAGAATGCTCTTTGATTGTAGGTGAACTATATATCCCAGACTCGCATATGTCAAGGTCTATTTTCCCCCAAGAGCGCCCCTGGGAAAAATCAACTATACTGCAAATGCTTACTTTGCATAATGGGTTGAGCCGCCGCTGCTGACAGCGGAAGCTCACCCCACTCCCTGGATTCAAACCTGCTACCTTTTGGTCAACAAGCTCAGTGCTTTAACCCACTGTGCCACCGGGGGCTCTGAACCAAACTGGGAAGGTTTTGGTGGGCACTGACCTTGAGTTTTAGAGTTGTAGTTCACCTACATCCAGAGAGCACTGTGGTCTCAAACAATGGTAGATCTGCACCAAACTTGGCATGAATACTCAATATGCCCAAACGTGAACACTGGTGGAGTTTGGGAAAATAGACTTGACATTTGGGAGTTGTAGTTGCTGGGATTTATAGTTCACCTACAGTCAAAGAGCATTCTGAACCCCACCAATGATAGAATTGGATGAAACTTTCCCTCATTACCAACAGAAAATACTATGTTTTTGATGGTCTTTGGCAACTCCCCTTTCACCCCTCATGACCTCCTGAGGGGTCTCAACCCCCAGGCTAAAAACACTGATATAGGCTAAACTTAAGACAAGACACAATGCTGCCACTGGATTGTGGGAGTGAATACTAGAGATGGTGCCTTTCCCTTTAATGCAGCATTTCTCAACTTGGGGGTCGGGACCCCAGGGGGCGTTGTGAGGGGTTTTTAGAGGGGTTGCCGAACACCATCAGTCTTAGGAACCCCTTTGGCTGAGAAGGCTGAAAATCTCTCCGCATGACCTTCTCTCCCACCAAAAGCCCTCCTACGCTGTGATTGGCCGGCTTCTTAGCCAAGGGGAGGGCCGTTTCCAAGATTTCAAGCAGGGGAGTGGAGAGCAGGTATGTTTGGCGCACAACACGCATGTGCAGGCGAGGGAGAGTGTGTGAGGTTGTAGGGAGGCTCACGCCAGCAAGTCCCTTCAAGTCATGGGGGTTCTGTATAGGACGTCTGGCCCAATTCTATCACTGGTGGGGTTCAGAACGCTCTTTGACTGTAAGTGAACTATACATCCCAGCAACTGCAACTCCCAAATGTCAAGGTGGTATCTACTGTCCCCAAACTCCATCAGTGTTCACATTTGGGCATATGGAGTATTCATGCCAAGTTTGGTCCAGAGAAATCATTTTTTGAGTCCACAGTGCTCTCTGGATGTAGGTGAACTACAACTCCAAAACTCAAGGTCAATGTTCACCAAACCCTTCCAGTATTTTCTGTTGGTCATTGAAGTTCCATGTGCCAAATTTGGTTCAATTCCATTGTTGGTGGAGTTCAGAATGCTCTCTGATTGTAGATTAACTATAAATCCCAGCAACTACAACTCCCAAATGAGTAGCAACGAAAATAATTTTATGTTTGGGGGTGAGAACAACATGAGGAACTGTATTAAGGGGTCGCAGCATTAGGAAGGTTGAGAAATACGGATTTAATGGTTGCGTAGAAGCGGGAATTTCAGCAAGTATTGCCTATTTTCAAGTTTGTTGACGAGTTTGTTGGATATACTTAGCCAGGGTATCTCTCATTTTATAGATAACCACCTTTATGTCAAATATTTGGTATGCCAGCCTTAAAAAAGGCACAGATTTCAGGCAAGTTCCCTCCCACTTCCCATTCTACTAATTAAATAATGCTAACTTTTTTCGATAGCAACAAAAAGCGTGAAGGTGAAGGAGACATCCAATTTGCTCATATTTTTTAAACAATTGTGAATATACAGCTGTTCAAATGCCATTCTGTAGCTTCATGGGGATATCACTTACTTTATCTTTGTCCAGGTTTCCATTTTCAACTGTTCCTTTGTTTTCTTCTCTAAGGAAAAAATAAAATAAAAGAGGAAATCAATAAATATACATTTCCACACACATGCACTGGACAAGGAGAGAGCCAGCATGGTGTAGCGTTGAACTATGGAAAACCCACTTGGCTTCTACACTGCCATATAAACCAGATTACCAAAGCAGATAATCCACATTATCTACTTTGAACTGGATTGTATGAGTCTACACCGCCATATAATCCAGTTCAAAGCAGATAATCTAGATTTAAGTGCAGGCAAAAGGCAAAACCGCCTCTGAAACAACCATGTCAAGAAAACCCCGTAACAGGCTCACCATAAATTGGAAACGACTTCAAGGCACACAACAACAACAAAATGTATAAAGAATTCAACCTGTTCCGCTGATTGAAAAAGATTGGGTTGATTCACCCGAGAAAAAATGATAAACCAGAAATTTAGCAAGTTCTGCCTACATTTCAACCAATGTATTTATTTATTATTTATTTCAAAGTTTTCTATACTGAGCTTCTCACCTCTTAGAGGGACTCAGCCCGGTTTACAACCATAAAAACATACAATCAGTAAAACCAAAGAGATTACAGTCAATGCACAAAATGCCTTAGTTGAAGCGCCATCTACTATATTTGTTTGTTTGTTTATTTGTTTGCCATATTTGTATACCGCCCTTCTCAGACCTCAGGCGACTCAGGGCGGTTTACAATGGCAACGATTCAATGCCCCAAAACGCCATAAAACATTTAAAAACATCAACACATAATATAAAACCATAACAAGAATATTAAAACATAGATCATTTGCGCCTCTTAATAAATAACATTGTCCCATCTCGTTGTCCAGTCGTTCCAATTCCTATGTCTTCAACCTTGCATTTTCGATTGCTTGCTCAAACAACCAAGTCTTGACTCTTTTCTGAAATGTTAAGAGGGAAGGGGCCGATCTAATGTCCCCAGGAAGAGCGTTCCATAGCCGAGGAGTCACCACTGAAAAGGCCCTGTCTCTCGTCTCCACCAAACATGTGGGAGTGTTCTTGAAAGATGAAATCCTTCCATCTACTGCCTGGTGACTTTGGCCCCTTCTACATCATCAAAGCAGATAATCAAAGACGATAATCCACATTATCTGTTTTGAACTGGTTTATCTGAGTCTACACTGCCATATAATCCAGTTCAAATCAGTATATAAGGGGCCTCAAAGATAATGGCCAAAAAGCTAGATGTAGCAGACCAACAGATCAAGGTAGCATCAGAGGGGCAAAGATTCAAGGAACAACGACTCGCACTAACATTTTAAAGAGTTATATGGCCATGTTCTAGAGGCATTTTCTCCTGACATTTCGCCTGCATCTATGACAAGCATCCTCAAAGGTAGTGAGGTCTATTGGAACTAGGAAAAAGGGTTTATATATCTGTGGAATGACCAGGGTGGAGCAAAGAACTCTTGTCTGTTGGAGCTAGGTGTGAATGTTTCAACTGGCCACCTTGATTAGAATTTGATGGCCTGGCAGTGCCTGGGGCAATCTTTTGTTGAGAGGTGATTAGATGTGCCTGATTGTTTCCCCTCTGTTGTTTTGCTGATGTAATTTTAGAGTTCTAAATGTGTGTGTGTGTGTGTGCTGTGTGGTTTTGCACATGCGTTGTAATGTAATTTTTGGGGTTTTTTTGCTTTTTAAGTCTCTTCTGTTGTGTTTTTCAGTGTTTTTATGAGTGATGGTCACTCGTTGGCCTGACAGGTGTATTGTGTCCAAATTTGGTGTCAATTCGTCCAGTGGTTTTTGAGTTGTTAATCCCACAAATAAACATTACATTTTTATTTATATAGATTGTAGAAGGGGCCTGGCATGCAATGACAAAGGGACAAAAGTTAGTTTCTGGGTTAAAAGTAGATGACACAGGCCCCTTCTTCACTGCCAGATAATCCAAGTCATCAAAGCAAAAAATCCACACTATCTGATTTCAACTGGATTATCTTAATCCACATAGCCATATAATCCAGTTCAAAGCAGATAATGTAGATTTTATATGGTGGTGTAGAAGGGGCCACAGTTTGCATATGATCAGTGATTCTTACTAAATTATAATTTTAAACTATTTCCCTTATTTATAAAGAAGGCACTTCATGTACAGCCTTTGGCTTAAAGATGGTGTGGCGCTTGTATCTTTAGGAATAGTTACTCCAAGCTTCATTGTTCTCCCTTGACTCACCACACATAAAACAATGCAAACCAGCTTTCCCCAACCAGGTGACCTCCAGGTGTGAATCCCGTTGCAACTTTATACTTGTTTATTATGTAGGCACCATTGTTTCCTAGGGATTGCATAGGCCCCATTGTTTCCTAGGAATTGCTCAAGGTGACATTGAGCCACACATGATTGTACAAACACAATACAAAATGCCTCTTACGATTAGAATCATAGAGTTGGAAGAGACCTCATGGGCCATCCAGTCCAACCCCCTGCCAAGAAGCAGGAAAATTGCATTCAAAGCACCCCCAACAGATGGCCATCCTGCCTCTGTTTAAAAGCATCCAATGAAGGAGCCTCCATCACACTCTGGGGCAGAGAGTTCCACTGCTGAATGGTTCTCACAGTCAGAAAGTTCCTCCTATTGTTTAGATGGAATCTCCTTTCTTGTAGCACCAGGATTGTGGTGCAGTTGGCTGGGAGTCAGCTGTATTAAGATCACTACTGACCGAAAGGTCATGAGTTTGAAGCCAGCCCGGGTCAGAGTAAGTTTCCGACCAATTTGTGTAGCTTGCTGTTAACCTTTGCAGCCCGAAAGACAGTTGCATCTGTCAAGTAGGAAATGTAGGTATCGAGTATGCGGGGAGGCTAATTTAACTAATTTACGATGCCATAAAAATCTCCAGCAAGCCTGCAAAGAATGAGGAAGTACTTCATCAGTGTCACAAATGGACGGTGAAGCGACAGCTTAGGTACCGCTTCCGCGGGGAGGCTAATTTAACTAATTTATGATGCCATGAAATCTCCAGCAAGCAAGGAAATGAATAAGGAAGTACCACAGTGTCACAAATGGACAGTGAAGCAACAGCTCCCCTGGTGGCCAGAATACCTTCATGAAGCTGTAATGTTAAATAGCCTCTGTGTGTCTGCCTATATATATTGTGTGTCTATGGCATTGAATGTTCTCCTGTATATGTACATTGTAATCTGCCCTGAGTCCCTTGCTGGGTGAGAAGGGCTGAATATAAATACTGTAAATAGATAGATAGATAAATAAATAAATAAATTGAAGCCATTGTTCTGCGTCCTAGTCTCCAAGGCAGCAGAAAACAAGCTTGCTCCCTCCTCCCTATGATTTCCTATGAGGGCATCACGGATTTCATATTACCTGATTCCTTCATAGAACTCTATGGATAAACTGACGATTTCATCATCCGATAGGTTCCCTTTCTCTTGTTCTGAAACTTCTCCCCGGTCTTCGTTGGATCCATTAGGCACTAGATAAGCAAGAGAGGGAAAGACATTAAAATTGCACTGGGTCTTCAAAGAATAAATTGCTGCTGACATGTGTGAATGGAGATGTAAGACGGGCAACATACCATCAGCCAGAGGATATGCTGCATAGAAATCACGCCGCCTCTTCATTTCATCTGCAAGGGAAAGCAATTCATTTATCAGCGCTGTTATCTTTTCTTTCTAAAGAGTAGTTAAATGACAACAACAACAAAAAACAAAAACAAACAAGCAAACACAAAACCCATAGAACATAGAACATTATAGCCCCTACAAATCACAGACCAGGCCCAAACTTGGCACACAGAGTACTCACGGCCCACTCTACATCCTGATGCAGTTGTAAGGGGGATGGACCATGGATGATGGGACTTGCAGTACCTTCACTCACTTACTGAAACCACTGTGACCCTCATCCAGTGACTGATCAAGACCAAACTCGGCAAAAAGAGCCCCATAACCCACTCTACATCCCGCTGCAGTTTGGAGGAGGATGGACCATGGATGATGGTCACCTCACTACCTCTGAGGATGCTTGCCATAGATGCAGGCGAAACGTCAGGAGAAATGCCTCTAGAACATGGCTCTATAGCCCGAAAAAACCCACAAGAACCTAAACACAAAACCCCCCAAAAAGAACTATTTTAAGCAACTGAAGATTAACTTGATAATTTGAAATATGACATTCACAAGAAGGTATAAGGGACATGTGGACGTAGTAACTTATTATCATTATTAGTACTATTTTGCTGTATTAATAGACAAATTAACGTCAACCACCGATGGATAGAAAGAAGTCAAACCAAAACTCTTGTTCTTTTGTTTGTTTGTTTGTTTCCCCCTCTTAGTTTCCCACTTTCCTATCTGGATATTGTTCCCACACTTTCGATGTATCTTTCTCTTTTTTGATAGTTAGAGGCATAACAAAAAACTTGAAGTGATGACAACAGTAAAAAAGAAATCAACAAGTATTTTTTATTCCTTATTCGATCAGTAATTTTTTCTTGAGCATCACTCCTTTATTATTCGTATTATAAATAAATATTAATTTATCACTTTTATAAATATATTACCTTTATTTAAAACTAGTTAGGGAACCCAGCACTGCCCGGGTTATTAGAGAAAGTGGGTAAGGGTGGTTCTGTATGCCAAGTTTGGTCTTTATTGGTCATTGGATGACAGTTGCATTGTTTTCAGGAAGTGAGTGAAGGTACTTGAAGTTCCATCATCCATGGTCCATCCTCCTCCAAACTGCAGCAGGATGTAGAGTGAGTCATGGGGCTCTGTTTGCAGAGTTTGGCCTTGATCAGTCATTGGATGAGGGTCACAGTGGTTTCAGTAAGTGAGTGAAGGTACAGCAAGTCCCATCATCCATGGTCCATCCCCCTTAGAACTGCATTAGGATGTAGAGTGGACCATGAGTACTCTGTATGCCAAGTTTGGGCCTGGTCTGTGATTTGTAGGGGCTATAATGTTCTGTGAGAAGTGAATCGGGTGAAGGTACTGCAAATCCCATCATTCGCAGCCCATCCTGCCATAAACTGCACCTGGTTTAAAGTGGGCCATTGGGTGTCTGTGTGCCAAGTTTGGTCCTGATCTGTCATTGGTGTGGGACACAGTGCTCTAAGGAAGTGAGTTACTTCCTCGGAATGTTGAGGTTGGCCAATCAGAGACCATATGCAAATTGTACCACAGTGGCAGCCAATCAGAAAGCTGCCACATACACCTCCCGTCCTCCCTCCGCATATAAACACTGACTTTTATTATATACATAGATAGATTTATCATAACAGAACCAAGCACCTATTTCTTCTGTCTACACAAAATAAATGGAAGCAAATTTTGATCCAACATGGGTCCAATATTATAAGAATACATTCCTTCCCATGCACACAGAAACCCTACTTCGGATGTTGTGGTTGTTCCCACAAACACAATCATACCTTTGAATAGTCCTGGAACCAGTTTGTACACTATATCTTGTAGGGTTTTATCTGATCTGAAATGCAAAAAAGAAATACAGTTATCAGCAAAGTGAGGCTGGGAATAACTTTCATAACATTTAAATCCTCTTTCATTAAGAACCAGAGATAAAGGGACCATTTTGCCCTTGATAAAACCAGGCGGAGGTGTGGGTGGAAATCAATAGACACTTTAGGGCAATTACCTCTGCAAATGTAATAGGTGATACCAGAAGCTGCGGCAAGAAGAAGCAATCTGCATTTCAAAACACAGAGTTCACTCTCTCCTGCGGTTTAAATTGAGCAGTGACATTTTAAGCATTTAGCCCAATAACCTATTTCCAGTGCCAAGAAAGACGAGCGCTGTCTCTGGATTTAAGAAGAGTGTATTGAGCTCACAAGAAAAGCCAATCCTGTCCAACATCTTGTTTCCCACAGTGACAAACCAAAGGCCTCTGGGATGCCTGGAAACAGCTCGATCTCTCATTTCTCAGCAGTTGGCAATCAGAGAAGAGTCGCATCCTTGGATTTATGGGTGTATATATGGCTGTGATGCACATCCACAAACCCCAATGCTTAGTAGTTACTTTTTCAAACTTGCTGATGTGTGTGCCCTTTGTCCATCTCACTGCAATGTGCGAGTATAAGCACGTGATGATAAATTAATGAAAAGGGGCTTCTTTCGCTTTACAAAGGAGAAGGTGGACTCCAGCTCACTGATCAGAACTTGAGAATATTCTTTAATTCAAGGCTATTCCTGAATGGCTCTAACAACTGTCAAAAAATCTGGATGCCCCACTAAGAGATAAAAAGCAATGTTTGCACATACATCCTGAAGTGTGAGCAAAGCATAAGCCCTCCAGATATTGTCAGACTGCATCTCCCATTGCTTCTTGTTACACATCATGTTAGTTAGGGTTAATGGCCACCAGGATTGTGGTTGGGAGTCAGCTGCATTATTTTATTTATTTATTTATTTGCAGTATTTGTATTCCGCTTTTCTCACCCCGAGGTGGACTCAAAGCCGTTTACATATAAGTAATGGCAAAATTCAATGCCAGTACAAACAATTACAATTATACACTACAACTAGACATAAATCAAATTAAAACAAAACATCCATGAGCAATAAAACAATCATTAAAACAATAAAACAGTCTCGTCCGTCGAATCGCCGTTCTAGTCTTTCCAAAATGCTGCATACATTTACTTCTACTTCCCGAAGGCCTGATCCCAAAACCATGATTTTAATTTTTTTCTAAAAGCCAGGAGGAAGGGAGCGGGTCTTACTTCATTTGGGAGTGTGTTCCATAGGTGGGGGGCCACAGCCGAGAAGGCCCTGTCTCTCGTCCCCGCCAGGCGCGTCTGTGCTGTTGACGGAAGCGAGAGCAGGGCCTCCCCGGATGATCTTAGATTACGAGGTGGACGTAGGGGCCAGGCATGTAGCCGGGGGGGGGGGCCTTGGGGGGCTTCAGCCCCCCCCCCCCAAATTCTCATGGTGGTTCGCGAAAAGGCCTTACTGGTGCATTATTTAAACTGTTATGTTTATTCATATCATGATCTGATCACCATACTCAATATATCCCATATGCATGGGGGTATTGGGGTAATGATACAAAAGGTTTGCTAGGCTAGACCCTCTTTCACTCAGACTCAGCCCCCCCCCGAAACTCAGCCCCCCCCCGAAACCCCCCTGAAAAAAATTTACCACCTCCCCCCCCCCAAAAAACGAAATCCTGGCTACGGGCCTGGTAGGGGCGGATGCCTTCGGACAAGTAAGCTGGGCCAGAACCGTATATAGAGCTTTATAGGTCAAGTCCAGCACTTTGAATTGGGCTCGGAGATGGACCGGCAGCCAGTGGAGCTGGCATAACAGGAGGTATGCCGCCCCAGTTAGTAATCTGGCTGCCGCCCGTTGAACTAGCTAAAGTTTCCAAACCATCTTAAAAGGCAGCCCCACATCGAGCGCGTTGCAGTAATTAAGATCACTACTGACCGAAAGGTCATGAAGCCAGCCCAGGTCGGAGTGAGTTTCCAACCTTTGTGTAGCTTGCTATCGACCTTTGCAGCCCGAAAGACAGTTGCATCTGTCAAGTAGGAAATTTAGGTACCGCTTTTGTGGGGAGACTACTTTAACTAATTTATGTCACCATAAAATCTCCAGCAAGCGAGCAAAAAGAATGAGGAAGTACTCCATCAGTGTCACAAATGGACGGTGAAGCGACAGCTCCCCTGGTGGCCAGAATACCCTCATGAAAGCTGGAAAGGTAAAGAGCCTGTGTCTATATTATCTGTCTATATTGTTGTGTGTCTATGGCATTGAATAGAAGGGCGAAATATAAATACTGTAAATAAATAAATAAATAAATAAGTTCTCCATTCTAATCTGCAGTTTAGCCACAATTATTTTCCTTCCTGATAATGAATTGAAACCTAGACCAGGGCTTCTAAATCTTTTCCACTCGCGATCCCTTTTTGGGATAATTTTTTTAAGTGACTTTGGGTATATCTATATAAAAAAATGTAATGTTCGTTTGTGGGGCTAACATAACTCAAAAAACACTGGGCAAATTGACACCAAATTTGGACAGCATATACCTAACAACACAATATATGTCCTTCACTAAAAAAAAATGATTTTGTCATTTGGGAGTTGTAGTTGCTGGGATTTATAGAGCATTCTGAACTCCATCAATGATGGAATTGAACCAAATGTGGCACACAGGACTCCCATGACCAACACTAGAAGGGTTTGATGACCATTGACCTTGAGTTTGGGAATTGTTGTTCACCTACATCCAGAGAGCACTGTGGACTCAAACAATGATGGATTTGGACCAAATTGGGAACAAATATTCCATATGCCAAAATATGAACACAGGTGGAGTTTGGGGGAAATAGACTTTGACACTTGGGAGTTGTAATTACTGGGATTTATAGTTCACCTACAATCAAAGAGCATTCTGAACCTCACCAACAACAGAATTGGGGCAAACTTCCCACACAGAACCCCCATGACCAACAGAAAATTCTTAAGGCCACCCAGTCCAGGTCCCTTCACTGGGGCAAGAAAACATCATCAAAGCCCTCCTGACAAAGAGCCATCCAGCTATAGATATAGATAGATATATATGACTCACACATACACAGACAGGCATGTAGCCCCCCGAAATTCTCATGGTGGTCTGCGAGAAGGCCTTACTGGTACATTATTTAAACTGTTATGTTTATTCATATCATGAACTGATCACCATGCTCAATATATCCCATATGCATGGGGGTATTGGGGTAACGATACAAAAGGCTTGTTATGGTAGACCCTCTTTCACTCAGACTCAACCCCCCCCCCCCGAATCAAACTCAGCTCCCCCCGAAACAAAATCCTGGCTATGGGCCTGCACACAGATATAGTATTATAAATTTGAAAGGGACCCCTAAAGAAGGACAATTCTATGTTGCAATCTCCACATCAACAGTGACAAAGAAACAGCAAGAAATACTGTTTACCCACAAGCATAAAAAAATTACATAGATTAGAAACCAACACTTTCTCATTACTTTATTTTCCAGATCACCAGACTGGGCCACAGCAATGTGTGGCAGAGGACGGCTAGTAGGAATATAAAATAGGTATAAAAACCAGAATTTACTGATAACCAATCAGGGCCTGTGGGGCTTGCTAGACAGACTGATTTTCCTCTTTATGAAGTACAACTGAAGCATCTTCTGCAGAGTCCACCACAAGCACTACACAATAGGGACATGTAAATGTCGAAAACAGACATTTAGAAACATTTTACTGTTGCCACATTTTTGGGACCCCAACATTGAGCTAAGGGGGTTAAGAAGCAGTGACCTAGACCACCACGATTCCTCCATTGGTGAGATTCAGGTGCAGACAACAGAACAATAAAAGAGATTTGTTTAAGACAAATTATTGCTATGCCACAGATGTCAGATTTCCTTGGCTCTAACTTTGATTTCTTTGACGGACAAATCTACAGGCTTCAACACCCTTGCTGCCTTCTTCATCTATTGATTTACACATGCCGGGAATGGAGATTTATTGAGGTTGGGAAGCAAGCACACAATTACGCCTGTGTCAAACACCATTCCGCGCCTGATTTAAAAGGCTCAGCCTTGTTTTTTACAAATTATTTTGGCAAGCGGTATTTCTTTTCATCAACACCGCCGTGATATTAAGCCATTTGGCAAGCCTACCCTCCCCCAAACCGCTTTTGTAATGCTATTTATTACACGTACATATTGACTTTGCTTCATAATTTATGGCATGCTAATGAAAACAAGCTTTGTCCAAGAGCTGCTTGACTGGCAGTTAGGTTATACTAAAGGCCATTATATATGCTTGAGTCAATAACTCACTTAATGTGCCCGAGGCCGAATGCCCAGGACGCACAATTATGCTTGAGGTGTTTGTTGCCGAGGGAAATGAGTCACCTTTTTTCAAACGAAGTCTAAAGCCACCTGCTGCAACCAAAAGATCTCTGAACACTGGTAACTGTCAGGGACAATACCAACTAAACTAATACCAACATCCTTCCTTCCTTAGGCGATCCCTCGTTGTCCGAGTAGGACGATCCTCCAGGGTCTGTGTGCAGTGTGTGGTGGGTCCGTAGGTGACTGTGGAGCTCTATTCTTGACCTGCATCTTCTCCCACAGTGAGGGCATTGGTTTCCAGTTGGAAAGCGGTCCAGGTCAGGGTTGGCTTGACACACCTTCCTCTTGGCACGTTTCTCTCTTTCGCCCTCCATTCGTGCCTCTTCAAATTCTACAGCACTGCTGGTCACATCTGACCTCCAGCTGGAGCACTCAAGGGCCAGGGCTTCCCAGTTCTCAGTGTCTATGCCAGAATTGTTAAGGTTGGCTTTGAGCCCATCTTTAAATCTCTTTTCCTGCTCATCTTTAAATCTCTTTTCCTGCCCAACAACATTCCGTTTTCCATTCTTGAGTTCAGAGTAGAGTAACTGCTTTGAGAGACAGTGGTTGGGCATTCAGACATCGTGGCTGGTCCAGTAGA